TGTGATTAATCGCTAATTTCCTCTAATTAATTGCCGATTTTATCTAATCGCTAATTTCCTCTAGTTAATGGCTAATTTCCTCTCATTAATCGCTAATTTTCTGTCATTAATTGCTAATTTTCGCTAATTGCCAATTTCCTCTAATTAATCGCTAATTTTCCCTCATTAATCGCTAATTTTCTCTAATTAATCGCTATTTTTTTCTAATTAATTGTTAATTTTCTCTAATTAATCGCTAATTTCCTTTAATTAATCGCTATTTTTCTGTGATTAATCGCTAATTTACTCTCATTAATCGCTAATTTCCTCTCATTAATCACTAATTTCCTCTAATTAATCGCTAATTTTCGCTCATTAATCGCTAATTTTTTCTAATTTAGGGCTAAGTTTCTCTAATTAATGGCAAATTTTCTCTCATTAATTGCTAATTTTAGCTAATTAATCGCTAATTTCCTTTAATTAATCGCTATTTTTCTTCAATTAATCGTTATTTTTCTTTGATTAATCGCTAATTTCCTCTCATTAATCACTAATTTCCTCTCATTAATCACTAATTTTCTGTCATTAATCGCTAATTTCCTCTCATTAATCGCTAATTTCCTCTAATTAATCACTAATTTTCTCATTAATCGCTAATTTTTTCTCATTAATCGCTAATTTTTTCTCATTAATCGCTAACTTCTACTATTAATCGCTAATTTCCTCTAATTAATCGCTAATTTTCCCTCATTAATCGCTAATTTTCCCTCATTAATCGCTAATTTTCTCTCATTAATCCCTAATTTTCCCTCATTACTTGCTAATTTCCTCTCATTAATCGCTAATTTCCTCTAATTAATCGCTAATTTCCTCTAATTAATTGCTAATTTTCTCTCATTAATCGCCAATTTCCTCTAATTAATCGGTAATTTCCTTTAATTAATCGCTATTTTTCTGGGATTAATCGCTAATTTCCTCTCATTAATCGCTAATTTCCTCTCATTAATCACTAATTTCCTCTAATTAATCGCTAATTTTAGCTCATTAATCGCTAATTTTTTCTAATTAATGGCTAATTTTCTCTAATTAATGGCTAATTTTCTCTCATTAATTGCTAATTTTAGCTAATTAATTGCTAATTTTATGTAATTAAAGGCTAATTTTCTCTAATTAATCACCAACTTCCCCTCATTAATCACTAATTCCCCCAATTAATCGCTAATTCCCTCCAATCCCCCCGCCCTTTCTCTCCCATTAACCCCTCCTCCACTCTCCTCCGCCCCTCCCCCACCCGCCGGGGGCCTTTAATTAGCGCTAATTAACGCCCAATTAACGCTTTTCGCAGGTTGATTACGGCGCCACCGCCGAGGAGCTCGAGGCTCATTTCCACGGCTGCGGCTCCGTCAACAGAGTGACCATCCTGTGTGACAAGTACAGCGGCCACCCCAAGGGGTAATTAGCGACAATTAACACTAATTAACGGGCATTGACACTCGGGGGAGGGGCAGCAGAAAAAATCCCCGAAAAAATCCCCAAAAAATTCGGGGTTTTCTCCATTTTTGGCGAATTTTTTATGGTTTTTTTTCCCATTTTATTCTGATTTTTTCCCCATTTTTTCTGATTTTTTTCCCCATTTTTTTCTGATTTTTCTCCAATTTTTTGTGGGTTTTTTTCTGATTTTTTTCTGATTTTTTTCTGATTTTTTCCCCAAGTTTTTTCGGATTTTTTTCGGATTTTTTTCTGATTTTTTCCCCAAGTTTTTTCTGTTTTTTTCTGATTTTTTTCTGATTTTTTTCTGATTTTTAATGATTTTTTTCCCCTTTTTTTCCCTTTTTTTCCTGATTTTTTTTCCCAGTTTTTCTGATTTTTTTCTGATTTTTTTCGGATTTATTTCTGATTTTTTTCTGTTTTTTTCCCATTTTTTTCCCCTTTTTTTCCCTTTTTTTCCTGATTTTTTCTGATTTTTTTCTGATTTTTTTCTGATTTTTTTCTGATTTTTTTCTGATTTTTTCCCATTTTTTTCCCATTTTTTCTGATTTTTTCCCCATTTTTTTGTGATTTATTTCTGATTTTTTTCTGATTTTTTCCCGTTTTTTTCCCATTTTTTCTGATTTTTTTCCCATTTTTTTTCTGATTTTTCTCCAATTTTTCTCCAATTTTTTTCTGATTTTTTTTATTTTTTTTCTGGTTTTTTTCTGATTTTTTTCTTTTTTTTCCTGATTTTTTCCCCATTTTTTTTTTATTTTTTTCTGATTTTTTCTGATTTTTTTTTATTTTTTTCTGATTTTTTAATCATTTTTTTCCCAATTTTTTTCTGTTTTTTTCTGGCTTTTTCCCAATTTTTTTCTGATTTTTTTTCCCAATTTTTCTGTTTTTTTTTCCCATTTTTTCCTGATTTTTCTCAAATTTTTCTCAAATTTTTTTCTGATTTTTTTCTGATTTTTTTTCTGATTTTTTCCCAAGTTTTTTCTGGTTTTTTCCTGATTTTTTTCCCCTTTTTTCCCTATTTTTTCCCCATTTTTTCTGATTTTTTTCTGATTTTTTTCCATTTTTTCTGTTTTTTTTTCCCATTTTTTTCTGATTTTTTTCCCGTTTTTTCCTGATTTTTCTCTAATTTTCCTCTATTTTTTTCCTGATTTTTTTCTGATTTTTTTCCCATTTTTTCTGATTTTATTCTGATTTTTTTCTGATTTTTTTCTGGTTTTTTTTCTGATTTTTTTCTCATTTTTTTCTCATTTTTTTCCTGATTTTTTCGGATTTTTTTCTGATTTTTTCCCTATTTTTTCCCCATTTTTCCTGATTTTTTTCTGATTTTTTTCCCCATTTTTTCTGATTTTTTTTCCTATTTTTTCCTCATTTTTCTCTAATTTTTCTCGATTTTTTTCTGATTTTTTTATTGATTTTTCTCCGATTTTTCTCCAATTTTTTTCTGATTTTTTTTCTTTTTTTCCTGATTTTTTCTGAATTTTTTCTGATTTTTTCCCCATTTTTTCTGATTTTTCTCTGATTTTTCTCTGATGTTTTTCTGATTTTTTTCTGATTTTTTTCCCAGTTTTTCCCATTTTTTTCTGATTTTTTTCCCCATTTTTTTCTGATTTTTCTCTGATCTTTTTCTGATTTTTTCCCATTTTTTTCTGTTTTTTTCTGATTTTTTTCCCCTTTTTTCCTGATTTTTTCCCCATTTTTTCTGATTTTTTTCTGATTTTTTTCTGATTTTTTTCCCATTTTTCTGATTTTTTTTCCCATTTTTTCCTCATTTTTCTCCAATTTTTCTCCAATTTTTTTCTGATTTTTTTTTATTTTTTTCTGAACCTTTCTGATTTTTTTCCCATTATTTTCCCATTTTTTTCCCATTATTTTCCCATTTTTTTCTGATTTTTCTCCAATTTTTTTCTGATTTTATTCTGATTTTTTTTCTCATTTTTTTCTCATTTTTTTCCTGATTTTTTCAGATTTTTTTCTGATTTTTTCCTGATTTTTCCCCATTTTTTCTGATTTTTTTCTGATTTTTTCTCAATTTTTTTCTGATTTTTTTCCCATTTTTTTCCCATTTTTTTCGGATTTTTTTCCAATTTTTTTCTCATTTTTTATGATTATTTTCTGATTTTTTTCCTCATTTTTCTCCAATTTTTCCTGATTTTTTTCCTGGTTTTTTTCCCCATTTTTTCTGATTTTTTTCCCAATTTTTCTCTCATTTATTTTGATTTTTTTCCTGAATTTTTCCCATTTTTTGTGCTGATTTTTGGGCTGAAATTCCCATTTTTTGGGTCCATTTTTGGGCTGAAATTCCCATTTTTTGGGTCCATTTTTGTGCTGATTTTCCCCACTTTTTGAGTTGATTTTGGGTTGAATTTCCCCATTTTTGGTCAATTTTTCTGCTGATTTTTGGGCTGAATTTCTCATTTTTTGGGTCCATTTTTGTGCTGATTTTCTCTATTTTTTGGGTCCAATTTCCCCATTTTTTTAATCAATTTTTGTGCTGATTTTTGGGCTGAAATTCTCATTTTTTGGCTCCATTTTTGTGCTGATTTCCCCCATTTTTTGGGCTGAAATTCTCATTTTTTGGGTCTAATTTTCCCATTTTTTCTCTCCAATTCCCCCATTTTTCCCTCCATTCCTCCACCGATTTTTCCCCTTAAATTCTCATTTTTCCCCCTTTATTTTTCCCTCTAAAA